CAATTTGCGGTCGCGAACTGTGCCTTTAATCGCGCTGATTGTATGGGTGAAGTTACTTATAGAAAAGCTCCCACTTAGTGCCCCCCTCCTTCTGATAGTAAGGTAGAAAAGAGTAGTGGTCTAGGCGACTCCGCCCATGATGAATGATTGGCACAGGTGAGCCTCGGCCATGAGCGCGGAATGTGCCTTTAAGAAGTTTTCTACGCACCTGCAGCCTTTAATGCTTGTCTGTTGGGGGTTTACTCCCTTCTTATTTGGCACCTTATAACTTTAGAATTAGCAATTTCTAGGCTCGTAGTTAATAACATTGCAATAAGTCAGAGGTGGTGTCAGGAAGGCGGGACGAGCCCGCCTTCGGCTGTTTCGATCTGCCAATGGTGACCAGCTAGCAAACGATTTAGGAGGAAAAAACCAGTTGTAGAAACGTTGCAGGCGAGGTCATTTCATTCTTCTTGAACCTACCCGACTGATTGCGGCGATATGAACTGTATGTAGCTCCCTACTATGTCAGACTCCTCCCATTTTTTTGGAAGCATTACCACAACAATTGAACACATGTGTTTTTATCGATATACAATTGATCAATAGCCGATAAAAATAAATACAGATATAGAAATTTGAAAATACCCAGAGCTATAATGTCAAATAAGCTACCAACAGTACCGTCATATAAAGAGGAACACTAGAACTCTTCGGTCGTTGATTCCATTGTAGTGGAGGAAGATTGCGTCGTGATTGCGGGCTGAGTAGACCTAGTGGTCACCGGTGGAGCCGGTGGAGCTGTTGACGTACGATTGTTGCGGAGCAGGTGGAGCAGTTGACGTCGATGGTTGCGGAACTGGAGGAGCAGTCGATGTTGATGGTTGCGGAACTGGAGGAGCAGTCGATGTTGATGGTTGCGGAACTGGAGGAGCAGTCGATGTTGATAATTGCGGTGGAACCGTTGAGGTGCTTGGTGACGTCGGTGGGAGTATTGTAGCAGAAGTCGTTGGCAGAGGAGCTGTCGTTGTTGTTGTAGTCGATGGAGAAGGAACTGTTACGGTTGTTGTCACTGGTTGAGGTGGAGCCGTTGTAGTTGTTACTACTGGTTGAGGTGTAATTGTAGTTAGTGGTAATGGAGCTGTTGAGGGTGTCGGAGGTGGTGACGGAGTTAGTGGAGCCGTTGAGGGTGTCGGCGGTTGTGACGAGGTAGGTGGAGCTGTAGAGGGGTGTCGGCGGTGGTGACGGAGTTAGAGGTGGAGCCGTTGAGGGTGTCGGCGGCGAGTGAGGAGGAGCATATCGCGGTTGTGACGACAGGATCGAGTGGAGCTGTAGATGGGTGTCGGCGGTGGTGACGGAGTTAGTGGAGCCGTTGAGGGTGTCGGCGGTTGTGACGAGGTAGGTGGAGCTGTAGATGGTGTCGGCGGTGGTGACGGAGTTGATTAAGTGAGCCGTTGAGGGGGTCGGCGGTTGTGAACGAAGGAAGGTAGAGCTGTAGATAGAGTAGTCGAGCGCGATGGTGACGGAGTTCAGTGAGCACGTTAGAAGTGTCGGCGGTAGTGACGAGGTAGGTGGAAGCTGTAGATGGGTGACGGCGGGGGTGACAGGAGTAGTGGAGCCGTTGAGGTGTCGGACAGTGGTGACGGAGATCATGGTTGGAATAAAAACTTGTCGATTAGGTGGATTTGTTGACTAGTCGTTATTTCTGTAAAAATCGCAGTACAAAGTTACTATCATCAATGTTAATGATACTGAACAGAACGTTAAACCCACTACTTGGAATAGTTGTCGTTGGTGCACGCGATGATGTACTTAGGCTTCGGGGTAATGTACTTTGTGATGTGCTGAGTCGGTTTATTAGCGTTGTATTAAACTGAGCAGGACTACTGGCTAATGCTGTGGTCACTCGAACAGACGTTGAGACAGTAGGTGGGATAGTTGGCATGCTTGTGCTGGTGCGAGCTGGTGTATTAGGGACAGACGTTGGTGCAGTAGGGGTTGAGCTTAGTGTCAGTGTGGAGGTAACACTAACAGGTGCTGTCGTAGGTGCAGGAGTAGTGCTAGGAGTGCTGGGCGCAACAGAGGGAGATGTGATTAATGGAGTTATAGATGTGGACGTTGGTGCAATTGGGGTTGAGCTTGGTGTCAAAGTAGAAGTGAGACCAAATGGTGTGCTTGTAAGCGCAGGGGCGGTGCTGGGAGGGTTAGGCGCAACGGTGGAAGGTGCGGTGGTAGTGGGAATTGCTGACGTGCTGGTGAGTGCAATGGGGGTGATGGAACTGGAGAAGTACAGTGGTGGTTTTAGTAGGAGTAACAGTGGTAGATGGAAGTATAGGCCTGCTTGTCAGCACCGGTGTCGTACTGCGAATGTTCGTAGTAGTTATAGGTGGTGAACTCGTTGATGACGTACGTTGTGGTGTCGTCGGCATCACACTAGGAGCTGTCACCGTAGCAGTCGAAGGAGCAGCCGTCGTTGTTGGCAACAGTATCACTTGTGGCACTAAAAATGTAATTTTTAAGTAGAGTATGCTGGAGAAATTGTAGGACCTCAGGATGGGACCTCAGAAGGTTTTACATGGCACATTATTCTTCGAAATGCGCGGAAAATTAATGTCCTACAGAGAACAAAGGCTTTCATACCAAGTTTTCGTATGGATCAGAGCCAAAAAGACGTAATAGGTATACTACTTACCCATCAGACGCGGTAGGCGTGACTGTGCACTTTATTTCAACATTGCGTAGGATTGGTTACCCCCGGAGTTGAGTCTTTCAGTATGAGACAACTGTTCATCTCATTTTGTGCGTCACAAAAGGCAGTGTTACAATTGTCAAGTAATGAAAGAGTATCCAACCAAAAGCGCAGCCGTCGTCACGTTCAAATGAAGTTCGTAGCCACGCCTACCGCATTTCAGAGGCCTGCGAAGTATATATTAATGGCTCAGCAGAGTTGAAAAATGAAATTTTAAAAGGGCACAACCCTGCTTCATCACTGAGTCACGCTATACTTAGACCTTTCCGCATTGTCTCCTCTACACCTTTATCACCTTAGAGGAAGGGTAAAAAAGGAGCCAGCACTGTTCTGACTCCCTCCCAATATGGCTTACCTGACTCCTCCCATATGTCTAGGAAGAACTCTATCTTTAAACAGGTACAGATACTGACTATAGGAAGCTTGGTAATGTCTATTCTAAGTTGTTATAGAAGAACTATTTGACTTTACATATCCCTCTGAAACTTCGTACATCGTTATGGCTACTCTATAATGCAATAAACTTACTGTTAATGGCTCCCATGTATCCATACGTAGCATTAGGTGTCTGTCCATAAACAAAATAAGAGTATGGACCATCGGGAGTGGACGAGGTTGTAAGAGTGTGGAATCCTTTTGTTGGTATGGTAGCAGTGATGGTGTAGTAATTAGTACCGTGAATTGGAATCGTAATGGTTGTGGAGTTTCTATCCAGTGACATAAGGAGGACTCCGTCAACTTTTGCTGATATGCAGAATCCAATGGCACATATCACCTAAATGGTCTTTTTATCAGGAATATTTGAAAAGTTCAAACTATGTAACTGTTGAGGCGAAAGGGCACTGGGTGGAGCAGCCCACTGGAGGTTATCGGTCAACGCGAAGGGCCTCACTTAGCTTCCAAAAATACTTCATATGGCCTCCCACTATTAGTTGCAGGAATCACAAGTTCGCTCTAGAAAGCTGAGAGGTAGTGGCTGGGAGACAAGGTTGCTCAGACGAATCCGCCCACTTTTCCAGCCATCATTTCTGCCGCGCTCATTTGCGTGCTCTCTCGTTATTCTTGTCTGGTCTCTCACCTAAACATCAAGTCCTTGCCTCTAGCTTGATAAAAGGAGGGCACTATTTAGTGCGATTTCAACGGTTTTCTCTGCTTCCTTCTTCCGGGACAAGTCAACCAACACAACATTTCTGTTACTCAACCCAGTTACCTAGGACCTTTTCGACAGTCTTCAAAATCAAACAATCAAGTCCGTCGTTACATGACAAAATTGGAATGATAGCACAAAATGGTCTGAAGACCTTTCCATCGCAGGCTAGATTACTTTCAAAACAGCTGTTCGTACTGGAACTACTTCTTTACATCCCATCGTGCATAAATGAAATGAATGAGCGCAGAGATAACGACTCGCATAGAAAATCCTGTCAAGTAACTACTCACATCCATTCTATTTACCGGAGATGTGATATGCGTGGGTGGGTGGTCCGTTTGAACGTGAAATTGGCGTTCTTAGTGGGCGAGGGCTGGGCAATCATTGGTAAGATTTTTCCTGCTATAAGATATGGACCAGTAAAACTTGTCATAACAAAAGTGTACCACGAAAAGGCGAGGTCTAGCTTCGATAAAATAAAGTAGGCTACTCTCCGCCTTCCCTCATCTCAAGGTATATTGGTGATCTGAGCTGGCATCTGAGACCAGTATAATACAGTTACCACTTACATCTACATTAAGTCAAACGAATCTCGCCACGATAATATTGATGAAAAGGCAGACTGAAACCTTCTCGCGAAATCCTTTGGCAAGAGGATTCTTATCTTCAAACAGACCAATACATGAGTGCCAATTTATGCACTATTTTCAACTTGAAGCTAAGCAAGGTCAAGCGCATAGTTTATAATGGTGGAAAGTCAAGCTTGTAATTAAAGGAATTAATCTATCGGGCCTGTGGCGTACACACCCCATACCCCCACGAGGAGGAAAAATGACGCGCTCTATCTATAGGATTCGTTATCATGTTTCTATGATATAAAAAACTAAGTTCCACATAGATAATTGATTGATGTAATGAGACCAGCAACCGCCGAATGAAAGAAATAAACATTTTTTTACATTAACTGATTGAGAAGCATGAGCTCGACATCACGAGCTATATAGTGAGCTAAGGTTACACCGTAGCATCACTGAAAGCAAACTAAAATTGAATTATCCAACACAGAGACTTAGACAATGCGCTTAGAAAGAGCGACGCACAGCGACAGAATATTACATTAGCTATTTATTTAGTGACTACATTGACTATTATAATGGGTGAACGCAAACGAAACGACAAACAGCTTCAGAAGGAGGCAATGAAAGTGGGCAGTGAATCGTTCATATGGGGTAATTGTGTACTCAACGTGAATCTGGCTCGACGCAAAAATACGTAGTTGCAGCAGGTTAGCGGTCTTGGCTTGAACTATTTTCATTGTTGCTTGTTCCCGTTTCACGCTTGCTATATGCTCCTACTACTTGAAGGATTTGGAATGGGCTATTTTGGAAAGCTCACCAGTCGCGGACTTCCTCTGACAGATCAGGCACACGACGTAAATTGCCGTTTCAAACTCAACGATTATGTAAGATTCGTCTCATTAAATGAGATATAAACTGCTCGCACTATTGGCGTGAACAGATGACTTTTGGAACATTACCTCGATTATAGATGCGCTGAGAATGGCCATGTTATTACTAAAGTAATTACTTCCTCACTGGATGTCCCTTTAAACAAGGAAGAGCAACATCCATAAATAGGCACATGGTCTACTCTTCCTCGCGCTCAGTTATCGTGAAATGTAACTTTAACCCGAAGGCGGTCAGAAAATATCCCCTCTGAGAAGAATGTGGCGCCATAATAATGCAAACTTTTCCTGTTCCCCTGGATCCATATCCCCGAACAACTCTTAGACTCCCATGAATATGCTTCGAAACAGATATATCTCTGAGTGGAAAATGGTGTAGGGTCAAACTACGGAGAACAGCGTTCTCTGTACACTTATGAATATCCTTAGGATAGCAGTAGGGCCCAATATGCACCGAATCGTGGAACCGAACTTTGGGTCAAGGGTAGTGTATGCCAGATAAGTTAACTTTATTACGAGGTAGGGTAACTGCGAAGAGATTCGGTAGGTTAATTGCAGATAAGTTTGTTCAGGAGGCAAACTACCCCGAATTATACATCGGTCTCCCACAACGATTCCGAGTGGAGTTCACCTTCATGGCACACCCCAGATGGCAACTGGTCAACGCCATTTCAGCGACTCACATAAATGAAGAGAAACAGTAATAATTAGGCAAATATTATTACGTATTTTTCAATTTCTATATTTAGCACTAAAGTCTCAGAGTCAAGAGGACTTTCACAAGGCGCATTAACAGTACATTCCAGTCAATCAATTTTTTTTACTCTCTCGCTCGGAGTACTGTTGTACGGTCACTTCCAACCGCGAGTTGTTTTGCTTTGAGAATCAAAACAAACCTCGATTATTTCTTCTTCAGAGATTTGGCTAGGTACAGTCACAAGGTCCACTGTTTCTAGGACCTGTTTTCATTTTCTTTCATCTAAGGCGATTTCACTATCATGCAAATGCCACGAAAGTTCATTTTCAGCACATTCTCACATCAGGATTTCACTTCATGACGTATTGATTTCTTCAGAACTTCAGGACGTTCTCGATGACTCACTTTCTAACATTGAACGAACCTTATCAGTTCAACAATTCGTTCATACGGTAATAATCCCTACAATAGGGGGCGTAGGACGGAGGCACGGCTTCGAACGCAGCTAGGGCAGATTTGTCACCAATTCCAGCGGGCTCAGGATGACATCATTGTTAGAACAAGGCAGCCCTGGCTGCACTCCAATACGCGCCCTGTCACACGCCCTATCGTTTGCAGGGACCATGACTGTAGATGAAGCGCCCGATCACAAAGAATATGAAAAACCACAAAAACAATTAATAACTTAGTTGCATACTCTGTATGGAAGTAGATAGCTCCACCATAAGATGAATCCACCACCGTTAGTGACGACTGCTGAGTTACAGGCACAGGTATATTTTTCCATAGATTACCTCTGTTACCAGTTAACGTAACCTGAATACAGCGCAATCATACTCGAAGTATTCACATAATATTACAGGTGAGATTTTCTTGAGGAGTCGTCTTGTAGTCTTCGCCGTATCATGCACGCTTTATTCCACTTCTCAAGTTCTCCATTAGTTAATGGAGAAGTGGTCCTCAACCCCC